GAGTCTGTGTATGCGTTGTGTGTGTGAGTTTGCCTTAAATGACCTAAATGTTCCGAAAAAATAAATAAATAACTCCGGTCATTTTGACCGTTCTGCCCGACTGCCCATTTCTGCACGGGATTTTGAATTGTGGAGGCGGGGACTCGATTCGTTTTCCAAAAACAAATGGCAGGATTGCTTAAGTATTTAATATGTTGTTAATTGTTATGCTGCGTTTGTTCTCAAGCCCACCCGATTCCTTAAATTTGAGTTAAGCAAGTTTTAGGCTGGCATATTTTAATAATATATATTAATATAATTTTAAAAATATATGTTAATGTTTAATAATACTCAAATTTCATAAAATAATAATAATATTCGAGCCGATTAGCAAGCTCGAGAACCGAACATCATCTAGCTTGAGTTTGAGCTCGAGCTCGACGCGTGAGCTTGATATATCGGCTCACGAGCCCATAAACGAGTCGAGCTCGAGCTAGCTCACGAGCCGTATTGGCTTACTTACACCCCTAACCACAAGAGAATCATAGGTTTCCAATCAAGCTGCAACAAGTCGAAAAATCAAAACTATACATAGGATAACCAAAAGAGAATTAAACAGCATCAAGTCTGAAATCTCAAACAAAGGCCACCATTGTCCAACATAAATGAGAGAATCAATCAATAGAAATAGAAATGAGAAATCCATACTCACCAAATGATTTGCAAATGACGTGCACGAAAGAAGATGTCGTTCATCTCTCCCAGTCTCTCATCTCTACTTCGCTCGTTCCAACTTTCCTAGGGTTTGCGAGAAAGAGAGTGTCTGCAATGCGTAAAATGAGGTTTCAGTTCACCCTTATTCGCACTAAACCCTATTTCAGCAGTTAGATGTACGATCACGGCTCGAATTAGACAATTTCAAAACTGGCCGATTCTTTCAAACGTTCAAATAATTATGATATATGGCTCATAATACAAAAAAAAAGTTAATGATATATAAACTATTAGCAACAGTTAAAATTATTCATTATCATATAATATTTATAGTAAAAAATCATATTTATTCATGTAATATATTCTCATTATTGAGGATATTCTATTTAATTATATTTCCATTATAGTTTTATTCTCTTGCCTTTATATAGACGTATTTGTATTAACACAAAACCAATTGAACAAAAATATAGCTTTTAAAATTTCTATACACATACTATGTACAAGTTTATATACGTCACGTACAAATATTACACAAGCATTGTATACACTATATACAAGCATTATACACACTATGTAATAGTTTGTACATACTATGTATAAGTATTATACACACTATATATAAATTTATAAGTCTTGTAAATACTATGTAAAAGTTTATACAAGCTTTGTACTTGCATGCTATGTCTCTATACAAGTAGTATACTTACTATGTATAAGTTTATACACGCTATGCCCAAGCATTATACACATAATATATAAGTTTATGCAATCTATGTACAAGCATTATACACACTATATATAAGTTTATACACGCTATTTCAAGAAATAAGGGTCATTCTAATCGGAGATTTTGATGGATTAGAGCTGCAGAATTTTCAATAGCCCATACAAGCACCTAGCCGACAAAAAATTTTTTGAGGAGGTTTCCCACTTGTTTTAAACTCTTTGACCACTTTAAACTCTCGACCGCCGTTTTCAGGTCATGGAATTTTCTAGCCCACCAATTTTGAATTAAATTGTCTCATATTTTGTGTTAAAATTTATGCTTGATAAAATTTGTTATTTTTTATAACCACAATACTTCTTATAGATAATATGTTATTATATGCGATGGTCCTAATTAAGACAATATACTAACATATGGAATCATCCGCTCAAAATTTTAAATAAATAATAAAATTTAATATTATTAACATATTCGAAATCCAATGCAATATTTAACTTCAAATATGAGATTATTATGGTTCTACTTCTACTCCCTGTGAGTTGCCTGGGTTGCCTTTGGTTAATGTGGGTCCTGTTTTGTCTATGGTGGAGGATGCTGTTATTGCGAAGGTGAATGCTGAATTAGTTAATAACATAGCGAATGTTAAGTCTGTGGAAACTTTGGTTGCTATCTATGACGCTAGTCCCTTGGCTTTGGTTGTTGAAGGTCCGTCTGTTAGTATGTTGGTTCCCTCCCCGTCTGTCCCTATCGATAATGCTTGTCTTGTGGTGGGGAGTGTGGAGAATTTGAGGGAAGTGCCTTTGGTTCCTTCGTTTTCTGCACCTGAGTTTGGTAAGGTTGGAGATAGGAATTGTCACACTAATCTT